TAAGTTTACCCCATAAAAGCCCTTTCCCATAGTCCGATCATGCACGTAGGTTTACACTTGTGTACCAAATTTCATCGAAACCGGATGGTTTTCACTCTAGTTATCAAACACACACGCACACACAGTTTGAACGGATGGTGTTTTTGGCCTCTGAAGACATAAAAACGAAAAGTCGGTACCGAGTGTATGTTTTACCGTAAGATATACGGCAGTAGCTTCTTCCGAATATGGGAAATTCGAAACACACCTCATACCAGCGACCACAGAATTAAAATTATTTTAATTCTGTGGTCGCTGTCTCATATCCCCATCACTACATACATATAATTGCTCTACTACAATGTACTGTATTGCTATTGCTAACGTCAGATATTGTGCCATATACGGTGTATTTCGCGAATATTTGTTCACTGTTACGTTATAGTGAAGACGATTCGCTATTTGATCAGCGATATCCACATTGAGGTCAGAGGTGATAAGAATACTGATAACAACAGGAAATAAAACCTACCTGATAACACCTCAAATAGGTTGCATTAATAATGTATGAAAAAAAAAACTAAGAGGATTTTTTATAAAATGACAGACAGCTTTAGAATATATTTAATATCAATGAAGTAAGTAGATAAAGTTCTGCAAGATAATGTAATAAGATAATTAAGTAGGTAATTACGCGAATTACAGTAATTATTTTTTGTATTGTTAAAAGTATGTGATTTACAAAAAAATTAAGCTTGTTCGGTTATTTGATAGTCTATCCTTCCGCTATTAAAACTTTTTAAGTTAAATCTCGCAGTTAAATTTACACTATAGGATCCTTAATTAAACATTTCTAGGAAATTTATGTGGACAAAGGTTTAGGAAATCAAATTAGTTGTAGAACCCTATTAGTACTATGAAACCCTTTGTGGAACTAGCACAACACAACAATAAATACCTGAAACCTTCAATGATAAGATAAACTCAGTGCTTGTGGCTGTAGTATAATATAATAGATAAGCGTTTAGAATTACTAACCACTCAGAACGCTTTGTTCTTTACTATTACAATTAATTGATTATTTCAAAAGCTATTTATTTACTAACACATTTATAAATACATATTAGTGGGCTTAGTATTCCTAGCCATTCATATTGTTGTGTTCAGTATTATAATAGTACGTATTAATTATTATCTCATAATGGCCTGTCCAAGAAAGTTAATGACCCTGTGTTTGCCGCTTATAATGAGCTTCTTCACAAATAGGCTTCAACAAAATCTCCGCTTGTCCGGGAGCAACCACTTGTTGCTTTCACTTTTTCGGGAATTCTATCAGAATTTCTCCCACCGTTTGTCTTCCACGTTGACGCAACATCAAGACAAGGAGTAATTAATTTTGCATATTTTCACAACTCATGAGAAGATTAAGTGAAAGGTTGTAAAAATGATGGATTGTAGAAAGATGCGCAAAACGAGTTATTTTTTAGATTGAAAGTGTAATTATTTGGCGTAATAGTGTTAATATAAACGCCCCAAAACCCTTCAGAGAATTTTAGCAATAGCCTTCCTTGATCACCACCCCTATTTCGAAACCGTCATGTCCCCATCTTTCTATAAGGCTACGCCAATGCATAAACGTATACTACAGTTTTTTGCTGCATAAACGTCACCACTGACGTTTTCCAAACCACAAAGACGGATCCGAACCTTCACATTCGTATCCAACCGTTGCAGGATCCAAAAGTGAAATCGTCCAGATAAAAACAGATTGTTATTCGAACAATAGCCGCGGGGCGACAGTTATCGACACAAATATAAATCCAGACAGATAGCAGACATTAATGGACCATCAACATCGCCTAGGGCCGGGGGTTCCTGGAGGACACCTTTAGAACTATCCAAGGTCAATGGCCAGACAAGGCCCAACCCCTACCTAGACCTGACAAAAACTCCCCCATGCGGCGACAGGTGCTCGGGGATGGGGAAATCTCTGGGTTGGCAGCACTGGAGCGAGGGGTCCTCTGGTGAACATGGTTCACAGATAACGGATGTTGTTTCAGAAATTCAGATCTGCTATTGAATGATGGTCCTGCTTTCTTGCCTGATGTTAATAATCTAGTAACTATCTCAATTTGACTTCAGGAATTTATAATTTTCACAGATTTGGTTTAGTTTATAAAAATATCTTTGATCTATTGTCGTGGTCGCTACTTATCTCTGAATGTGGTTGTCTAAAGGAAGTGGGGCAGAACGTATCTACAAATACAATTCCAAAAATACGAAGAGGATTCACCTCAATTTCCTCTCAAAACTGATATTTTTACTACTTCTGGACTTGATATCTGGTTAAGGATATCAACTAGATTATTGTGTGACAAGACAACAGAGATTCTCTCACACTACGAAATTAAATTCCCGTGCTAGCAATTTGATGAACCATTTGGACTTATGAATACACCTTCGCAAGACTAAAACTCTGTCACTCAAGGCACTAACACTCAACTTCTGAGGTAAATTCGGGTTTTCTTTGTTCAAAACAAAAGAGCGAACGATGTAATTTAAGTGACAGGGGTTGAAAGAGGCAAGAAATAAACTGAGAGTCAGGACTGGGGTCGAGCATTGACTGGGGTTGATGGGAAACGGAATCAAGATAGGGGAGAGTTCCTTTCAAACGTGCGCGGGGAAAAGTAACAATCCACTGACGCAACAAATATACGGTATTCCCCCAGTAAATACTGGAACCTTCAAAAGTCAATGTTGTAGCGTAAGAAAAATCATAACTGAATACAATTCTGTAGAGTATGATTTCATGAACACAAAAGGAAAAATTTTGATAATTGAGGATTTTAGTAGTATTTTTGACAGTTGGCAGAGCTGTTCAAACCCACGAGTTATAGTGCGTAGTACTCCAATGTCATCATTGCCAACCTTGGGAGTTAACAGCTCTCAATTGGTCGCTATGTTTAGCATCTGCGTGCTTGTTGTGTTGGTAGCCTTGTTTCGTGTTATTTCGCCATGTTGGCAGCGCTAGAACGCCGGCCGGTGTCGAATTAACAGAGACGAAGCTTCCAAAATAAATTTCAACTGGACTCTACAAGCGAGCTGAGGCTGACTCAGGGTAGGGAAGGGACGGCATTGGTGGAAATAGAGTCGTGTCACCAAAGGCAATTATGTCATCGTAGGTACGTTAAGTAATGCGGCAGTAAATAGCTTGAGTGGACTTGAAACTTGTGAATCATTCTCATCGAGTAGAAACATTACTCGTAGTTTGGAAATTTATTACAGTTGTCAAATTTAACAAATTTGAAAGCTACGTATTCTCTTTCCTTACCCTACATAGAATAGAGTATTTCGAATTTTGTAAATGTTTTGTGATGAATCCATGTTCTAAAGCTTATTTACATAGGAATCGCCGAGTCGGACATTAACGTCCTGAAATTGTTACAGTCGACCACCCAAAAAACATACAAGAATTGCCAGTCCAGTCAGTACTGTGACATCATGGACCCTTCAGTTGTTCCAAGCGCTACAAATAAACTTTCAAAGTTAAGTCAGAATTACAGACGAAAATAAAATCAAAAAGAATATCTCACTTTTTTGTCAAGGCACTTGGTGGAATTACAACTCCCCTCAAATAACCACTTCCATCGGCTCCGCTCTCTGATTTTATACTACTCATTACACCAATTCCCGCCTCCCGATGTCGATTCAATTAATTGCAGCCTGACCCCAAACCCGGAATCAAGCCAGTTGGACTGGGGCTTTGGAGAATCGAAAGCATGCTACTTGACGGCAAGGTTTCCACGGTAGAATCAAGCCAATCTACAGCATGAAATGAGTAAGTTTAATGACAAAGGTTGTTCTGAAAAACTTATATATATCAGAAAAACGCTGGCGTTCCGTTGGGAACAGACCGGTGAAAAGCAAGTCAAAGTTGTTCCAAGTGCTACAAATAAACTTTCAAAGTTAAGTCAGAATTACAGACGAAAAGAAAATCAAAAAGAATATCTCACTTTTTTGTCAAGGCACTTTGTGGAATTACAACTCCCCTCAAATAACCACTTCCATCGGCTCCGCTCTCTGATTTTATACTACTCATTACACCAATTCCCGCCTCCCGATGTCGATTCAATTAATTGCAGTCTGACCCCAAACCCGGAATCAAGCCAGTTGGACTGGGGCTTTGGAGAATCGAAAGCATGCTACTTGACGGAAAGGTTTCCACGGTAGAATCAAGCCGATCTACAGCATGAAATGAGTAAGTTTAATGACAAAGGTTGTTCTGAAAAACTTATATGTATCAGAAAAACGCTGGCTAATAAAGACATGTTCCGTTGGGAACAGACCGGTGAAAAGCAAGTCAAGTCAAATTCACGTGATTTTCCTCATCTTGAGTATTTTCTCTTGGGTTCGTCTTGGGTAGACACTGTTGTTGAATTTGAAGGTCGTACCTAACACCAAAAGATCAACCATTATTACATGGGGACGATCTTAAAACAGAAAGTCTCAAAGACTCTTTCATGAGATATTCTTCATTGTCTTAATCGCCATAGAGAAAACAATTGAATCACTGAACAAGGAACATCCTGGACTCTTGGTGCATGATAATGAAGGAAGAGGCGAATAAAGCAGAGAGAAACGGTCAGTTGTGGCGACTCAGGTTGTTTACAAACGGCGAACCGGTTTCTGATGCTATCAGCCTACCATCTCCGCACCGGAATTGGAATTGCCCATCCCTTTGGCACACTTCAGCAAACACGTCGGAGGGACGCCCTCCTCTGGTTTGGCATCAACATAAACAGCTTATACTGAGCTGAGAAAAACAGCAGAATAATCAGATGAGAAGCTAAATCTAAAAGGAAATTCATCCACTTTGGATTATACTGACTATTTGATATGTGTATGCGGTAGATCGTGTTAGGAAAAGTCGTTTTATGGTAGCGGGATCCAAGATGCAAAAAGGGGACACAAGGAGAGAGGGATAAAAAAACACGGCAATTTAACTTTAAAAGAAAACTCACCTTTTTCTTCTTTGGGATGTCTTCGAACTCCTCGTCGATGAAGCCTTCGTCAACACAAGATGGCGCGTATCCTCCTTCACTGAGGGGAGGGGAGGGGGTGTTGCTTCTCCAGGAGTCTGTCAGGGAAGGACTAGGCGACGCAGGCTCCGGCCACGCAACACCTGCAATAGAGATTGTAGGGTTAAGAGGAGACGCCTTAAGCTTCCAAAAGAGATTTTAGGGCAATATGGATTCTTGCTTAGGTTAGAAGAGACGTCAGCGAAGCTTGTATGGTTTTCGATTTTGAGGACTCTCTCAACCAAGGACGGGATCAAAGTCAGGACCTTGCAATGTCATGAAAATAGATTCTAAGTAGTAATTACAGAGAATGTCCGAATTAATCTGTTAAATAACTTTAAAGGTATTTTTGGTCAAAACGCGGGAGGGTGGTCGAACTACAGCGATTTAAAAAATCCTAGACATGTATTATGACTGGTAATTACTGGAATTGCTGCTCAATTACCCAACAAACAGAAACAGCCATGGTGGACTGAATTGTTGAAATCCGCCAGGGATCAAACTAAATTGGGTAATAAATTTGATATAATGATACAACCACAGCATATTTTTTCACTAATTAACACTTTTCTTGCCATATTACTAAAGATTTAAATTATGTTTGTTCCACTTGAATTACTTGAAGAATGTACAGCGTAATCACTACCAGCAAAATTACGTAAGCGATAAGATACGTGGTTCATTACTCTTGATATACAACCACAAACGATCGGGGAATTCGTTGTTGTAGGTTGGCTGCATTGCGCTGCAGCTGACTGTGACGTCAACAACAGCTGATTTAACGACCGCGAAGGCTGTTAAACGTTTCTTGAGGTTGATGGTCTCATTACATGAAACAGGACGTGACGATAGGAAGGTTACGAAATTCTCACATGTTTTACGTGTAGGTATTTTAACAAATAAATCACGCATAACTGCAAACATGATGTTCTTTGTTCTAATTCGTTATCAATTTGGCATGTAACCAGCGCACTCTAACCCTGATTTGTTTACATCTGACGCAACCTATGTTTATCTATTGCGCCGTTATCTAGGCATTAGTTAATTGGATCAAAACAATTGCAAGAATGAGATAATGAGTTCATCTGTGTTGACATTCAGGTTTGTTGATTCAAATTCATTTAATTGCGCAATATAACTGTCAGGCACAAAATAAACATACTAAACTCAATGTTTAGTCAATACAAATGCTCAATACATTGGCTTATCGGTATTGCAAGTCATTTTTTATGAGTTTTCCAAATATACTTTTGAGAAAAAATCTTTGTCAAACTCTTCACCGAAACTGTAGTGTGTTCTTTTGCTGTTATTCTACCAATCTTTTTGCCAAAAGAACCAAGACAGTTTCAGATTGTTGCCGATTGCTGACCAAACCAATGCTGGTAAACCATAGGCATTTAGCAGTAGATTGTATCTCAATTAAATCCAATATATTAAAACCAATCATAGAGCAAAATCCAAAATAATGAATTTGATCTAAAGATACATTCTAGTCTGAACAAGGTCAATAATATATTCAGTAATTTGATGGCCATTATCATTTTATTCCACCAACAGAAATGACTGCTACTTCTCAAACACAAATAATGCCTCTAGCGTTTAATTCAGTGAATTGGACAATTTCCTCGAAGTTTTTCCGTCCATCAAAACTGAAAGCTGAATAGAACCATTAGAAATCGCGTACGGGAAGAATAGCCAACGAGAAAAATGGAAACAGCCGAGAGCCGATGGTCGGGGAGGGAGGCAGGAGGATTCCGTTATCGCGGATGGAAAGTTTCAATCTGGATGTGTTGGGTTGGTGCTTCTGCTCTGTTATTTGCCACAGCTCTAGCAGCTGATCCTGCATTACAGGAGTCGACGACCCTACAGCTGTATCATTACAACCAGCCACTCCTTACTCATGTTTTCGCAAAGTGTTTCCAGGATAATGGTTAGCCTAGTTGCTACCCTTGATTTTCTAGGGTTTAGAGAAATTGTATGCAAGATTGGCATGATGACTGCGTGGGAGTGAAGATGATTATGATGGAAGTATAGAATTCTCCTCAACTGAGTGGCTGATGAGACGCAAGTAAAGTTTAAATTATTTAAAATGACAAATTATGGATCAATAAAATATTGGCATAGAATCATAAAGAAACTGCACGAAAGTAGGCAATAGCTGCAAATGGAACTTGGAACTGTTAGGCCCCGTTTATGCACCAAGTGCGGGAGCGGTGCGATAGCGGGCCCGCTCCCGCTGTAAATGAGTCTGTTTATGCACGAAGAGCGATAGCGGTAGCGGTTGGTTAAAGGAGAATGGAAGGGGGACACAGTCTTGCCAACTCAAACTCTGCCAAATAATTCACACAACTATTTGTCCTAAGTGCACGTGCGCGTGGGTCAAGTTGGCAACCCTGGCTTCAGCCCAAGCAACCGCTGCGATTCCTAACTACACAGCGGGCGAATTAGAAATCGCAGCGGGAGGTCAACCGCTATCGCTATCGCTCTTGGTGCATAAACAGCCCCATTTAACTCAATGGTGTTAGAAATCGCTCCCGCTGTCGCTACCGCTACCGCACTTGGTGCATAAACGGGGCCTTAAGATGATATTATTTGTATGAAATCGGTTCATGATGGAAGCAGAAATATAGTACTCAACTGAATCCATTTGAAACTACCCATTGATGAATTAGCAATTCTGAAAAGTTTATATTTATATAAAAAAAAACACCATATAGAATCATTTCCTAAGAAAATCGTAGACGACTTGTTGAGCACACTTTGTGAGTTTTATCGCAGCAGAGAACAAAATTTACGAGAGGAAGGGTACAAAGCATGTAGTAATTATATTTTACAGCCTTAAAAAGACTAGTTCAAACCCTACGGCAATTTAAAGTTTAAATGGCTACTCCCACATCCCAATACAGCCAGGTTAGAGATGTTGAGTCTTACAAGGTTCATCGTAGCTAAGATCAAAATCTATCGTATGGTGTAATAGCATACGTACTATTGAGTCTATTATTAGCCACCACAATGACGTAGTTTAAAAGGACTCGACTTCGGGCATTTAAAGTTTAAATGGACTCCCGGATCCCAATACGGCCAGGGTCGAGAGATCGAGTCCAAAGTCAGAACGGAGGCCGGTCAGACCTTGCCAATGGTCACAAGTTGCCGGGGGTCGCCGAGTCATTGATGACGTCAGATACTTCCTATGACGACATGGTGACGTCATGGCTACGTGAAATGAGGAATCAGATGATAAGACGGAGGTGGAGTGGACGTGCATCACGTACAGCGTCAATGTGGGAATCCCTGACGTCATCGGCTTGAAACGGATTACTATGTGCTTGAAGAGATTGGGTCGGGAAAGATTAGAAATGATTGGTCTGACTTGGTATGGCACTGTTTTCTGTGTAATGCTGACGTAAGACTTGTTTTGGAATAGTTTATGGGTCAAGAAATTGCGCGTATCTACAAAGAAGCTAGTTTACTCGCAAACAGTACACAACAAACTGCATTCTGAGTATGAAATTAAAATCCTGAAATTTGAGTGACGTTAAATTAAAAATATTGGTAAAGTTCCTCGTGGCTCTTTCTTATTCGAACGATTGACATCTAAAAGCAAAACTTGGAGATCCATTGAACAGGAATTTAAATGTAATCATTTCACGTCGATTAAAATATGTAGCTAAGTTTTTAAGCGACGGTAATTTGGTTTAGAGCGGAAAAAGTACCTATATCTCTTGTATTACTCATGAAACTTTCAACACGAATAATGCCCATCGATCTATAATTACTCTTCACATCGATGGTAATGCCATCTAAATTGTCGAAAAACTCAAGATGAGTAATTTCACGAAGGAAACTCGCGATTTCATTCAGCGATGTCCTGTTTTGTTTCCGCCAAGACGTCATTAAAGGCGTCGGAATGTTAACAAACCGCGTTCAGCATTCCTCCAAGTTGGTACGAAAATATCGCCTGGCAACACAATGGTGAAGATGTACAATTTTCACCGCGCCAAGACTTATGCAGATGATGTGACGGTCTGGACAACAATCTCCCACCCACACCTAAACTGGCTTTGTCATTCTACTCTTTATTCCGATGTTAATTGTACTCGACAAAGAAAGTCGTTGAAAGAAATGTCAGGAGTCGAGAATTACAGTTACCTTTCTCCGTGATATTTCAAATCCGCTGTTTCCCAACGGGAAATTTGGAGTTGAAAAGTTATTTCTTGAATTTGCACAGAAATCTATCGTATTCAGTAAACAACTTGAACTAATAAGGTGTCCTTTTAAAGAGGGAGGACTAATAAAACCGCAAGTTGAGATTATAAAAGTAGGTTTAAGATTATTCCAGGCTGAAAGTATCAAGCTTGTTTGTTTTCTAAGCGTAAAATGGTGTTTACGACCTCATCCGCAGGGGTTTTACCATCTCGCTGCACGGCCCATTTGCTGCTCAATATTACGAAAACATGTAAAATATCGCCTGTTTAGTACCACAATATATTATTTCCTGCTTTGATATGAAAATAAATTACGTTTTTTTTTTTTTTGGAATCCCATGGAAGATTTGAAACTACTCTAAAGCAGTGGCAAGAAATCAAATAGCTCATCAATAAATTAATCCAAAATTGTACTGCAAGTTGTAAGTTTGTCTTATCCTGATGCGTATTTCATCAAATTTTCATCGGATTACTGTCAAGCCTCGTGAAAATTATTTTTGAGCTGATGGCGTTCAGATTCCACTTGCTAGAGATCCTACAATTTCTCCACCTTACAAACAGATTAAATTATGTATTCTACAAATTTCCAGGACGATATATTCACTTCTTGCTTTAGCATGCTCTACACATTTACTTCTACATTTGTGCTACTTTTCAGATGTACAATTCCCCAACACACTGTGCAGTCAAAACCGTGAATGTTACTGATTCCTATCAAACCTTGATCAATGGACTTCAATCTTTATATGCCAAAGTCTTGTGTCCTTACCGTTAAAGCTGGGCGAGTGAGGGCTACAGGAGAGCCGCATCAATACCAAGGCTGCTGTACACTCGTTCATGAGGTCTCCATCTTTACTGTCATCTTGACTGTAGCTGGGCCTTCTCTTGCGAGATCTGAAACAAAGATATCGGTCAGATCATCATGGATTACGTTCTAGCTATGTCGAGAGAAGTATACATTCCATTCCATGAGCTGTAGCCAGTTGTAGAAGTGAACTTGGGAATCATAAGATAAGGAAGACGCTCACGCTGATGTAATTTACTGAGTTGAAATATGGGTACAGTTGGCCCATATAGATAGTAGTCTACGCCAATATTCAGAAGTCAAATGGTTCTAGTAATTCTATTCAATGGTGCCAACAGAGTAATGAATAGCTTGGGACGGTATACTATACTCTGTATCTTGCAACCTATTCCCTGACTCTCCGCATAACTTAACTGGCCAATGGCATCAGGCAGACAGAGGGTAAGGAGACAGGTTCCACCACACAGACTACAATTAAAAAATATCACACGATGCACGGAAACACTTACTGTTCTCGGTACGGGGTAGTTTCTATAGAACGCTGCACAGGAAATGCGTGTGTTTAGAAACAAGAATGAGATATGCCAAACAATGATTAGTTTGTCCTCCAAGAACTTGTAAGAGAAAATTCAATTATTAATTTCTTAAAAGATTGCTAGATCCTTACGTTAAATTAGTTTTGTACATTAAATATACAGACCTTAAAAACGAAACCGATTTGGTTGTGAAATTAGTTTACACATTAATGAGTTTATACATTAATTCAAAAGCAATTCTCAACACGGAAACAATTTGTCTTGTGAAATGACAAGTCATGATCATTATTGTAGCAAAGGCACTGTGACATCCAGAGGGCGTCGTCGTTTGAAGAGGTTGGTGGCCCTTGATAACGGGAGGCTGATGACACAGTTTTGTTGGTATTTCGACGTCCGGTCCGCGTCACGGGTCCTGGCCCTAGTTCCTGCCGCGTACTAGTTACTGGCGAAACTATTACTTTTTTGTACCAATACACTAGGGTAGTAACATTGTGATGGAGGTATGATAACCTGTTATATTCCACCTGCTCTCCCATACTCCCACCCCATACTTAGCATTCGCTGCCGTGGTTGTACACGGAAGTAAGCTCTGTGACGCTGGACCGGAAGTGTATGTATCGTCCATCTGTCAGCATGAATATGCACCTAACCAACAGACCCCTGACCCTCGTCGTCCCAGACCTCTAGACCTCGCCCCACCGGCCCACGGGCTCCCGGCACCTTACCGGGGAAAGCGACACACTTGTCCAGGAATGTCGTCAGTTACGTGCTATGGGATCTTCCACGACTTTCCATTGATTCTCTTGTGGTGTGTAATCAACTGGTTTGCGCATCTTGAAATGACAAGTAACTTTACGTCAGACTTGTCCATAGCAGTTGTTGCAATGGAAACATATTGGAGAATGTATCGAGATGTATACAGCACAACCTTGCCAACACAGTTAATTTCGTGGTAATTTCTTTCATTCTGCATAATTTACCTTTTTAACTAAGCTCATGCCTGGAATTGTTTTTACATTAATGCAGGCTAGGCCTTATCACATAATAAAATCCATTCGTGATTGCCCAGATTTGAACCCGGTACCTCAGGACCGAAGGCTTGAGCTCTACTACTAGAAAAGTTCCCTCCTCATTATTCGTTCAATATTCGTATTAAGAATGGATACATCTAAACTAAATAAAAGCCCAAGAGTGACTTACCCTAATAAGACAAATTTATGGAAGGACAAAAGAAAATCACGATTTTGAGGTTACACAAGTTTATGTAACAAAATGTCAAAGAGATTACATGTAAAACTACAGATACATCAACACCTGAGTTACTTTTAATTCAGAACACATTCCTAATCGAATTGCAAACTACACGTAGGCTACAACTTATTAATCGGACAAACAAGCATTTGCGTCATAATTGGAACAGCGACACCTGTGTGACGTCAGCAAACAGCTGTTTGTCAGCTGATCGTTGTCACATACATAACCACACGCGCGTTGTACGATCTGGCATACATACTCTTTGTGTCGTTTGAAAGTCAATTGCGAAAATTATTATCTAGAATTCTATCTCTAAAAAACACCAAAAAACTAAATGAAAGTCATTGTTTCACGTGTCATAATCTATCTATATCGCGAAGCCTTGTAGTCTTGTAGATATACTCTAGAAGAAAGACTTCTACTGTATAGTATTTGTTCCCAAAAGATGACAATCGACACAATGTTATCTAACGATTCGAATAGTCACGACCAAGGCTGTGTTATCTGCCCGTGTTAGTTGTTCAAACAGATAAAGCGTGTTGTCGAGGTTGGTTACCACAAAAACTTTGAAAACCAAAACAAAGCTGGCAAACACATCCAGTAGGCAATAAAACCATTAGGATTTGTACAGGCAACTTTTCCTGGTCGATTACGGATAATGGAAAGCGATGTGAACCAACGGAAATGGCGTGCTGTTACTGAGCATTAGCATTAGCGTGGTACAAGATCTAGTGATAGGAGTACAATTAACGGTTGCACCTCAATCGCCAAACCGTAGCTGTGCGGACATCCTGTACGTATACGTACGTGTGTGTGCGTACGTACGTTGTGTACGTGTGTAGGTTCTCAACGAATCGCCGACGTACGGTACATGACTCCTATACTTTGAATATCCCACAGAACAATGGGATTACATTGTGCATTGTGCGCCAACTATCAATATTACAAGAGGGAAAAAAACATGTGTGGGGGACTAAAATTGATTTATTTTTGGATTCGAGGGCAAAACCTGTACTTTTTGGTTACCGCACTTATTAGGGATTTTATCCGTGATAATTTCTAATTCACGAGGAACTTAATGAAACTATGGTATTGTCTGCGTCATGACTGCAACGACGTAAATTTCATCGTCCAATGGCGCACCACGAGGAAAGAAATTGAATCACCTTGTAGTCTGAGGAAAGTGTTTCCTATTACGATTGCCATCGAAATGGTAATATATTCATGTACAATACAGTAAACCAATTTCAAAAACGTTCCAAGCCTTGGGAGTGATTTATTTTCAGTCAACCCCTCTATAGTCTGTATGATGGAACCTGTCTCCTGTACTTTCGTCTACCTGGGGGACTAGCCAATGGTTTAAAGCCCGGGCCAGTTCCAGGAAGACAGAGGGTATGAAGACATGTTCAATTATACAGTCTGTAACAATTAATCCATTAACATACACACCGTAGCTCAACAGATTACCCACATATCGGAGATTCTCCGAACAGCTAGTTCACGAAGTTGCGATCACCACTTCCGATATATCGATACATCGAACATAACCTATCACCTTCATCTGTGCTCGTTAACATCGCAACTGCTGGCCAAACAGGTGAAACCTCGGCAACGGAGGCTGGTAATGACCGATCTGCGCTAAAGATCACCGCGAAGATGGGAGAGCAACTACGTGCTGATGTGCTATCCGGCACAAGGCTAGAGAAAGAGGTCGTAAAGGGCGCAAGGATGATTCTGTGTTGTTTTATGAGTTACACATTCGCTTAGGAATTTGGTGTTGTGATACACAACCTTTTTACCTACGAAGAAACTAGATTTTGTTATCAGAAAGGTTAAATCTACTCGTGAAAAGTTGTTGTTGCTAGCCAAGTGATTTGCGTCTCGGACGTCCGATCGAGAGGGGACGGGATTCGGGATATATTACTTCGATTACCAGAAATACCCATAGACATTTTAAGGATATGATACCACTTTTCGTCAATACCATTCACTTTTGCAATATTTTATGAACGACATTGTTTCTATTTTATTTGACTGGAATTCCCTTAGGTCTTCCACAGCGTTCAAGAAAGTATTTTCTACTTACAATCAAGAAATGCCTGTTTTTCAAACAATTACATTTCACAAGGTTTCACAGGTTACGAAAACACCCTACAAAATGCAAAAATTCAGCTTTCCCATTGAGCAATCCACTCATGAATGGAACCATATGTTCGACCAGCTGATCAGCGAGGGGCAGCAAACAGCTGTAGTATCAGCTGAGAGGCCTTGCAGCTGCATGAAGGTCCTTGCAGCTAAGGAGTGCATTGCGACACAGCCTTCGCATTCACACACGACCTCAGCTGTTAGTGACACCGACATTGAACAGCCAATCAGCTCAGTTGTCGTAGTCAAGGTCAAGGCTTCTGGTTTGTTACATACGTGAAGATGTTGATGTACCTTGGTGTCGGGTGTATTGACATTGATAATTACTCAATTGTTTCAATTGGAACAAGGTGTCTTTTTCCTCCAAAAAGTGCGGTTTGAAAAAGTGTGAACTGAAATACAGATATCAAAACATAAAGTTCTTGAGTCTCTTGAATACTCAAGAAAGATTCAGATTTGCTGGGAATTTACTGAACAACGTATTAATGCTTCATACTCATTTGCTTTCTCAAAAATAAAAAATTCCTAAACCAACTTCACGTTAGAAAAGCCTCCAATTGTTTGGCCCAACAGTATCTACAAATGGCAAACATTATAAGGAAACAAGTAAGATTTTCTAGTAATACAATTTCACACATACTGTTGCCAAACCTTTAAACAAACACTATAAGTGGTAACCACAAACTATCGTCAACACGAGAATAATTAATCAACCAACCCACAGATGTCACTGACAAGATGGCGTCACAAGATGATCTGCCAAGTTTTGGAGGTCGGTGCCTTATCTGGCAACTGACCTGGCCAATGCCGGAGCTGTTGGTAAACCAAAGACCACTAACATACCTTCAGCCGACCTTGCATGGTCCTTTTAAATGCCACGACTAAGGAAAAGTCCAGCTATATTTAGAAGTCCTTGATGGTTACTGGTTTGAAATTGGTGGACCTTATGAAACGGGTTTGGGTATTGGCAACAATTAAGGTGGTGAGTGGTATAGAACATTAGAATGGGAATTTTACTTTCTTTAGGCGTTGAATCATTGAATTATCTTTTCTGGGACTCTTTAAGGACAGTTAGAGATCTAAAATACTGATCTCAAATGTAAACTGGAATAATCCGCAAAGATAATGTCACAGAAAAACAACACAGTCAATTC